TGTTTGTATAACTTATAATGCATCATACTTTGAACTAATATTTACCTCGTGATGTTCACACATGATTTAAAATTATTTATTTTATGGTGCAAATTTTCTTCTAAGAACATATATATATATATATAAAGACACTACAGTTGGGTGGAGTATGGAGGAGCTTGGAGAAAGGGTGTTGGGAAGGAAGAAATAAAAGGAGGGCTTTTGAGGAGAAAGCATGAATAGTTTGGAGAACAAAGGCAAAATATATGTTGTTGGATCAATTTTATTTTTTAAAGCATATTTGCTTATTATATGTGTTAACTACTTTTATATTTATTTGTAAAATTAAATGAAATGATTTAAAAAAAAAACTCAAAATAACTTTGATGTGATTTAAGTGTTTTTAAAAATTAGTTTTCACAATCGGCCGCTATCACCAGCCACACCACCATTAATGGTGTCATCGACTCTTTGGTTGTTGTCATTGCTCACCTATGATTGCCACCATCATATTTGATATTCAACAAAAAATAATATTATTGAAGGATAGAAAATTCATAGCAGAAGATTAAGTGTGTTTTTGCATCTTAATTTTACACATAAATCCATCACAAAAATAGTTAAATGAAAAGAGCATAAATGACACAAAAAATTTTATGTGAAAAATTCAGAAAAAGAAAAACCACAAAGGCCCAATACAATAAATGCTTCCACCTTGTAATTGTTGGTTATAAGGATTTTCGCCTGCACCTGAACTTATTAATGAAAAAATTAAAGTATTTTAATAATGGGAAATTTACATACATACCACTATATTTCTAACCATTTACATATCTAACACCTCAAAGTTTAATATTACTCTTATACCACCGAGAACTCATTCTTTGCATCGCTTTTACCACTCTGTTTAGGTTGAACCTCACGTCGTATTTCTCCCTGCCGGATTTTCCCATTCTTGAATACCTCTTCTCGTGAACAAAGTCGATCGGGAATACCTCTGCTTAAGATTGCCTCAGCTCGGTGCTTGCGATCTGAAATACATACATATGCTCGCAATCGGGAATACCTCTGCTCGCTACTAGTGATCGCTGCTAGTGTCACTAGTTTAGCTTGTGAACTCGGGGGGTTGGGCAGCATGTAATATACAAAGTTTATTTTCTTACACTTAATACATATGTAGCATTCAAATTTCTGTTCTGAGGTGATATACAAAGTAACCATTTATGTCATATTATTTATTTTAGAAAGAAATCATGCTTCAATTCAAAGTAGTGAAAATGTGTTCCAAGAAGATGGAGTATGTTCATGTTGTTTTTAAATATGGAGGGAAATGGGTTCAAACCAGTGAGCAACATAGAAAGAGGTATGATGGTGGCAAACAAAGGAGTGTTAAATTTGAGAAAGGTCAACTTACTATTTATGCACTTAGAAGCGAGGTTCGAATATGTCCATGGCTTAAGGGGCATCCATATAATTTGTATTGTTATATATATGGTACATCACCAAAGGAATATAAAGATATAATTTGTGATGTTCAGGTGGCTGAGTTCATAGAAGCATCCAACGATAATTTGCGTGGTGAGATTGTAATTTCAGTACATGAAGTTGAAGGACAAGAATAAATTTCTAATCTTAGGGAAGTTGTGACTTTTCGAGCAGATGGTTGAATGTTCTTTTAACCATGACGAGGGTTTTTCAATTGCTCTAAGTTTATCTTATAAAGATATAGCTGTCGGCACCTTCTTTTCGACACTAAATATTTCAAGCATGCTCTACGATCGGTAGCCATCAGGGAGAATTTTGGAATCAGGATAAAGGCAAGTGACAAGACACGTGTGATTGCTACATGTTCTTATGAAGGTTGCGAATGGAGAATTTGAGCTTCTCTGTGTGAAGACGCTCAAACTTTTGAAGTTAGGAGAGTTTATGGTGTTCACACTTGTCCTGGGATCAATCGTGATGGTAAAAAACTAGCCACAACTGCATGGGTTGCCATTGAGATTGAAGAAATAGTAAAGAGAAATCCTGACATTCCTCCAAAAGACATCAACAACAATTTAGAGAATGATTATGATCTTTCATTACCCTACATGAAGCTATGGAGGTCTAGGGAGCATGCTTGTAACAATATATTTGGCTCTATAGATGGAAATTATAAATGGGTTCCAACACTACATGTAGAATTGATTAATAAAAATTCATGTTTGCATATCACATACACTTATGACAGCCTTGACCATTCATTTAGAAGATTTTATGTTTACTTTAAGGTTTGTGAATATGAATTCTTATATGGTTGTAAACCGCTTATCAGTTTGGATGCATGTCACCTGAAATCAAAGCACTTAGGTATGCTTTTATCAGCTACCTCACTTGATGGTAATAACAGTTTATTCCCATTAGCATTTACCATCGTTAAGACTGAATCTAAACAGACATGGTTATGGTTCCTTCAGAACTTGGCAGAGAGTGTTGGGCCACACATAGAGCCTCTTTCGTTTATCTCAAATATGGAAAAGGGTTTGGGTAATGCCATTAGAGAAGTTTACCTTGGAGCTGAGCATAGAGTATGGATTCATCATTTGTGGAAGAATTTGAAAAAAAAAAATTCATTGCAAAGATGGTCATAAACTTCAAGGATTGGTTTGGGCAGCTATAAGATTTGGCAGTTAACAGTACTTCCATGCATTGACGTTGTAGACTTCATTGGGATGAAGGAGCATCCACTATGGCATACATATGCTCATGATTGGTATTTTGTTTATAGGTAACTTTATAATATTTAAAGTTATATTGAATTCCTTACATTTCCATGGCATGATAAACACTTCTTCATATGTGTTTTAGGTACAGGATGACATACGAGGGAGCTATAGGTACATTACCTTATAAAGATTAGAGGCAAGTAGTTCAAGATGTAGTGGATATTGGAGTGCCTAATACTTCAAGACTTAGAGGGAGACCCAAAAAATGAACATTACCAAATTTTCTAGAAAAAGATAAGAAAGTGCATAAATGTAGCAGGTGTTCACTTTGGCGCTATCATCGGAGCTCATGCAAGAACCCATTTCTGGAGTATGAGTATCTATATGTTGATGGGTTTTGAGAAAAATGCATTTATGGATATGTTTTTGACTTATTTTTGCAATGCTTCTGCAAACTCAAATGTAATTTTGGCTGATTTTTGAGACATTTGTATGGGGCAATATATTTGAGACAATATGGTTTTGATAATATTTCACATACATAGTTTGGTCAAACCTCTGTTTGCATAGACTGAATTGTTTTTTTTTTTTTGCATAGAGTATGCTGAATTGGAATCTTTGTTTGCATAGACTGAATTAGAATCTTTGTTTGCATACAAAGTTCGAACTCTTTTTTCAGCTGCAATTTTGTTTGCATAGACTGAATTGGATTTTTTTTTTATTTGTTTGCATAGATTTGAATCTTAGATGTCCACCTAGATTTGGTTTGCTCAAACCTTGCTATGCTATCCTGTTATGTGGATTATGCAAATTTAAGGAGATGATTAAAAGTTCCAATCTACAAATAGTTTTCATTTTTGTGAAGTAATTCAATTTTTCCCCTGTTGCAGAACTGAAAATACGGCTAGAGCTTTTCTGATTAATTGCATGGAGCGTTTCTAATAGTTCTCATTTGTTGTCCACCATTAAACTTTGAAATCCAACCTGTTATCTCAGCTTATAGACATATAGCAATAAATAGTTTGCTCAGATTTTGACATTTATAACACAAGAAAGAAAATAAAACAATTACTCCATTGACCCAAATATTTTTCTTGGTATTCCACAAAACAAAAACAAAGTTTTGTTCCATACAATAGAAGGATAAAATACATCTTTCTCCAAAAAAACATCTTTCTCCAAAAAAACATCATATTTTTCTTGGCATTCCACAAAATCATGTAAGGTTTAATACTACATATGCTCCAACACAACAGAGCATTAGCCTAAATAAAGTCGGACTGTAATGTCGATAAAAATCATCACTACAAAAAAATTCATCATACGAAGAATCAAGTCGAGCTTCTTTGAATTCCTTGCATCACATGCCTTAAATTCAAACAGTGTCACATAAGCAAGCTCTTCTTGTTCTTCCTCATCTAGCCATTTAAAGAACCTGCAATCATCCTCAGTCTGATTATGAACGCACCTATAAAATTGTCTTCCACTGTTAGGTCCTCGGTGGTAGGTAAACACAACACATTTTTTGTGGCAATTACAGTGAACCGTTGACTGGTGCATTCGATTTTTCACAGTCGAAGAATTCGAAGAACTCATTACAACCTTTATAAAACCTGAATAATTGATGAGAACAATACATTAGATTTACAAAACAACATTCGAAGCAAACATAGACTTCACCTTCCTCCCTCTCACGATCTCCGAAATCCTCGACCACTTGTGTCGCGCCCTAACTTCCTCTTACATTCGCCCTCTTTCATTCGCGGCAAACAGGATGGGAGAAATACAACGTGAGGTCCGAACTAAACGGAGTGGTAGAAGTGATGTAAAGAATGATTTCTCAGTGGTATCAGAGTAATATTAAACTTTGAGGTGTTAGAAATGTAAATGATTAGAAATATAGTGGCATGTATGTAAATTTCCCTTGAATAGAGAATTCACAAAAAAGTATGGTAGTGTCTATTTGGATATTTGTGGCTGAGGGCGGTGGCGATTCAGGCAGTAGTAGTCTAACGGTGACGGTTGGGTGGTGGAGGTCGGACAGTGGTTTAATGGTTATCAAAGCCCTAACAATGAGAGCAAGATCTCAGTGAAGCTGCTGGCTCTGGCTTAGTTCCCTGTTCGTCGCTTTGCTGCAATTTCTACTAGGGATTCGGCTTACCCGTATGAAGGAAGGTTTCCTCCGGCCGTCCAGCCTCCGATTCCTCCTGTTTCCAAACTAACTTGAGATAACTTCTTGTTTGCTTCAGGGTCTTGGATTTGGAGTTTTGATGCTGGCTTCGTTCCAGTTTAAGATGGCTCTGTACTAGCTATATGTGACAACGAACAAGGCGAGGAACATCGCCCACACGCGAAGGGTGATCGAGGCTGCTACTTTTAAGGCATCTCAGTTTGTTCTCTTGCCCGTGTGAGGTTTTACGGGAGAAACAGAACAGAACAGAGAGATAAGGAAAAGTGATTTCTTGTATTCAATTATCTCAGTCTGATATCCAGTACATATTTATAGCTTTTCATTATAACTAATCACATGATTAGTTTGTAATGCTGAGTTGTCAATTAGCTGTACAGAACATTCTACAACATCTTGCTACAGCCCCCCTCAAACGTTTACTAGATTTCTAGTAATTAGTTTGACAGTAAGAACCCTAAACCGAGAGATAGGTAATGCTTTTGTAAAAACATCCGCTATCTGATCCTTAGTACTTATATGATGTACAATTATTTGTTGAGATTGAATACATTCTCTAATAAAATGACAATCGACTTCAATATGCTTTGTACGAGCATGAAAAACAGGGTTATTTGCCAAAGAAATTGCAGAAGTATTGTCACAAAATACGGGAGTAGGTTGTGATGAAGGAATCCGAAAATCAGTCAGTAACCGTCTCAGCCATATAACTTCTGAAGCTGTCGTTGCCAATGCTCTATATTCTGCTTATGTAGATGATCTTGCAACAGTTGATTGCTTCTTTGCTTGCCATGAGATAAGTGATTTTCCCAAAAAATTGTAATAACCTGTTACTAATTTCCTGTCTTTGGAATCTCCCGCCCAATCCGAATCGGTATAATTATGTAATTTGAGCTCATCTTTGTATAACGACAAACCTTGATCAAGTGTTCCTTGAATATACCTCAATAATCTTTTAAGATTATGAAAATGAGATATAAGTGGCTTATGCATATATTGACACACTTGTTGTATTGCAAATGTGATATCCGGTCGAGTTAGTGTCAAATATTGTAACGAACCAGCCAGTTGTCTATAAAGCTGAGGATTTTCAAATTCAGCTTCTGTAGCCATTGCATCTGACGGCTTATAGATACTTGGAGTAGCCACAGGATTCGACCTGGACATACCAGCTTTTTCCAATACCTGCTTAGCATATAAAGTTTGGCTCAAATGCATTCCATACTGAGTTGAAGACACTTGAATTCCCAAAAACTGAGACAAATGTCCTAGATTTTTCATTGAGAATTGATTCTGTAAGCTTAGAAGAAGCTCATTTATAGTGGTTTGATTGTTTCCGGTTAACAAAATATCATCTACATAGATGAGTATATACAAAGAAACTGAACTGGAATGATAAACCATTAAAGAAGGATCAGCTGCACTTATTTTGAAACCAAATTTAAGCAAATGCTGAGACAATGTAGCATACCATTGACGCGGGGACTGTTTAAGTCCATAAATTGCTTTCTTTAAACGACAAACATAATGTGGATGATTTTGATCAGCAAACCCAGATGGTTGTCGCATGAAAACAGTCTCCGAAAGAGGACCATGAAGAAAAGCATTGGAAATATCAAGTTGAACAATTTTCCAATTATAATATAGTGCAACTAAAATAAAAACATGAACCGTGGGCATCTTCGCAACTGGACTAAAGGTCTCATAATAATCAAGACCATATTCTTGATTATATCCTTGAGCTACAAGCCGAGCCATGTATCTAGCTACTGTCCCGTCTGAATTCAACTTCGTACGATAAATCCATCGACAACCCAATACATTTTGACTAGAATCCGGTGGAACTAGCTCCCAAGTACCCTTTGATTTAAGAGCTTGAAATTCAATAGACATAGCCATACGCCAATGAGGTAACTTAGAAGCTTGCTGATAATTCGTAGGATCAGCAGATCGAACTGTATGAGACAGATTAAAAATCTGTTTTGGCTTAACAATTCCACTTCTCAACCTTGTTTGAATGGGATGAGCATTAAGCTTTTCTGGAACAATTGGCAACTGAGAGGGCGATAAAGAAGATTCCGATGGAGAATTGGAAACAGGATTTGTGGAAGTATTTGTAACAGATATGGATTTAGGCTGAGATTCATGAGACGGCATCAAGAATTGTGAGGAAGTAAGATTATGTGGTAACCCTGAAGCCGGAACAAGCAGCAAAGATTGTATGTTTTTAGAGACAACCTGAATTTGAGATGAACTTGTTTGTTGAGCGAAAGGATAGACGGCCTCATCAAAAACAACATGACGAGATGTATACACTTTGTTTGAAGTAGGATCAAAACACCGATAACCTTTTTGTGAGGTGGCATAACCAATAAAAACACATGATTTTGATAAAGAAGAAAATTTATTAGAATTATATGGACGAAGCCATGGATAACAAAGACACCCAAAGGCTTTCAAATGATCATACTTTGGAGTTTGACCATTTAACAATTCATAAGGAGACATATTTTTGGTATTAACAGAAGGAAGACGATTTATTAGATAAGCAGAAGTATATAAAGCTTCTACCCATAGAAAATGAGGAAGAGATGCTTCAACAAGAAGAGACCGAAGTGTTTCAACTAAATGACGATGCTTTCGCTCAGCAATACCATTTTGAGCAGGAGTATAAGGACATGTAATCTGATGTATTATGCCACAATGCTTAAGATAAGAATTAAAATGAGCATTAACAAACTCACCTCCTCCATCTGTCCTTAGAATATGAATATGAGCATTGAATTGACATTCAACCATTTTCTTGAACTCAAAGAATTTAGAAAAAGTATCAGATTTCCGTAACAGAGGATATACCCAAGTAAACTTGGTACAATCATCTATAAACGAAACATAATACCGAAAACCACAATTTGAAGACGTAGGCGATGGTCCCCAAACATCAGAGTGTATAAGATGAAATCTTTGTGTACACTGTGTTTTAGACCGAACAAAAGGAAGTCGATGACTCTTGGCCATACGACAGACACTACAAGAAGTATTAACAGAACATGATATTCCTAGATTTTGATTACAAAGATACGCTAAAGAAGCATGGGACGGATGTCCCAAACGACGATGCCAAAGATCTGGAACATGCTGAACAGAAATGAGAGCAAGATTATTGGAAGAGGAACACATTCTTGGTCGACCGCATAGAGGATACAGTTCGTTAATACACGGACCCTGAAGAAGAGGCTTCTGGGTTATCCGATCCTTTATGACATAACCATTTGATGAAAAGGAAATGTCACAATTGTTATCAAAAGTAAGACGATACACAGATAACAAGTTGAAAAAAAGATTGGGAACATGATTTAATTTGGATAATTGTAAGTTACATGTGGGAGTAGGAAGAAGCCCAGTGCCAGTATGTTGAATCGAAAGTTGTTGCCCATTGCCCAGCACAACTTGATTGTTTCCATGGTATGATTTGGGTGTCTGAATAAAACTAGAGTCAGTGGTTAAGTGTGAAGAAGCACCACTGTCTAAATACCACTCCGGAGACGTCGTCGTAGTATTTGTTGGAGAGAACAAGGAAGAGCTCGGCGGATCAGACGAATACTGCGGATCATGTCTATACCAACAACGGACTGCAGTATGCCCTTGTTTACCACAGATCTGGCATATAGCATTTGTTCTCGGAGCTCTTCCACCACGGGATGCATTTGCAGACCTGTTACCATTTGAAGATCGGCCTCGACTTGATCTACCGAGACCTCGACCCCTGGATGCGGCTAACGCGGTATCATTTCCAGAGATTTGCAGAGATTGCAAATCTTTTGTCACTTCATGAGACAAATTCAGCTCCTCACTACACAATAAGGTGTACAAGTCGTCCAGTGCCAGCGGTTGAAGATTGGTTCTTATGGCTGTTTTAAATGCCTGATATGAATTAGGCAAACCATTGAGAGTATGATGAATAATTTCTTCAGAATCAAGTGAGACACCAGCTGTAGCTAGTGCATCAACCTTTGCTTTGATCTCCAATAGATACTGCGCCATTGACTGTTCATTCATAGAACAATGCTGCAGTTCATTCTTAATCTGCATAATTCTTGATCGTGTCGTCGATTGAAGACGACGACCGAGAGTTTTCCATATATAAGTACAATGATCAAGATTCAAAACATACGGCCAAAGATTCTGAGAAATAACGGAATACAATGACGCTGCCAGATTCTGATCAATTAAAACCCAGGTGTTGTAGTTAGGATTCTGAATTGTGATTCCGGCTGCATTCGTGCTGTGTTTAGCAGGACAAACACAAGAACCATCTAAAAATCCTTCAAAACCATTTTTCCGGAACAGTTTTATCACCTGAGACTTCCAGGTTGGATGATTCTCGGCAGACAAAGGATTCGAGATAATATTTTTGATATTGGACATCAAAAATTTAAGCTGTGATGGAATGACCGTACTTTCAAGAAAAGCTCCGGCGACTACAGTATTTGCATTTGCAGACTGAGCTGTGGAAGAGTCATTTGACGGATTCATGACTTCGAAAAGATACGATGAAGATCTTGAAAGAAAAGAACGAAGATCTTGAAAAGATCTTGAAGAAAAGCGGAAAAAGAAATTTCAAAGCTCTGATACCATGTGAGGTTTTACGGGAGAAACAGAACAGAACAGAGAAATAAGGAAAAGTGATTTCTTGTATTCAATTATCTCAGTCTGATATCCAATACATATTTATAGCTTTTCATTATAACTAATCACATGATTAGTTAGTAATGCTGAGCTGTCAATTAGCTGTACAGAACATTCTACAACATCTTGCCACAGCCCGTAAGTTTTCTCCAGTGATATCAAGACTTAACTTAAAATGTGATATTCGATGCTTACATAGTCCCGCTTGTAACTGTTTGCTCTAACATTGAGGATTGCATCTTTGTTCTTGCCAATAGCATCTTCTTATTGGCCTCTTCTTATCAAATTCAATACAATTTTTTTTATTTCTTTCTAAATACTTGTTGTCTGTATTTGACAGATGAAGATGGGGAGTGATGTAAGATTTTTTCCCATATTGCTCTTCCTATTTTAATTTTTTGTTGACATAAGATGGATGTAAGTGCAAACATAATATCTATTAGAGAAGTTATTGTAGTAAAAAATATTTGTAGAAAAGAATGAAAAAAATGAACCTGGGTGATTTGGGCATACACAACAATGAGGAGA